AGTTTGTTGGTGGGTTTTTTTTCCCCTGCAGTTGCAGGTACTGGATGCCCTGATAAAGACAGAGAGAAAAGTTGGAATTTATGGTTATGTTCATGCATGTCCATCAAATTACGACCATAGTAGATTAAGTATTGTAGTGATGGTGAGCTCTCTAGATGATTCTTGGATTGGATTACAGCTCTCCCGGTATGTGTAAATGTGTACTGACAGACACTTTCTAACCAGGCTTAACTGTATTAACAGCTGGGAAAATCTACTTTCTTCTGTAGCTGTGAGTATTTTCAGTGCTGTATTACATGACTAAAAGTTAACAACAAACATTGTTTCTGGACTCTCGTAATCAGCCTAACAAGGGTGATTATAATGCTGGTGGTCAGGATAGAACAAAACACAAGCAGTACTGTCATAAGTGGCAGAAATAGTTGTATTGGTATTTGCTTTTCTGCAGGCAGCATCTTGTAGATCCAGCTCCGCTTTCTTAGGTCTGCTGCAGCTGACTGGAACAGTGTTTACGTGTGTGAGTTACATGCTGGGGTGCGGAGGGGACCTTCAACATGTCATGGTTAACATTGTGATTCTGTACTCAATCTGAAAAACAGCTCTGACCGAGATGAAAAGTCATGCAGCTGAGTAGGATTCTAATTCTAAACTATGTAAACAACAGCAGCGAAACTGGGCTTGTTAACTGGCCGATCGTATTTCTGGAATCATGCTGGTGCGGTTAAAAACTGCAGTTGCAGACAAAGTTGAATAGCTTCACACTGTTTTTCCTCCCAATCTTCCTCGTGTTTGACCTCTAGGAGACTATATAAATAAAAAGAAACCTCTCTCACACACACCACGCTCTTGCCAGGAAAAGGGAAAGATCAAATCTTCACCTAAAACAAACTCCAGTGATATGACAGCTGTTTGCTGTTTCCTTGCTGTTTGCACTGGCTGTGTGGTTTGGTGTTCACAGGTGAAATTTTGAAAGTGCAATTTCTCCAACTTACATTCCCGCCCTCTGTACTCAGCCTCAGGGCAGTGAGATTATCGCGCTGATTCTAAGTAGGAAGGACTGCAGTGGTCCAGGTGCTCCCACTGTTCTAGATGCAGCTCACCAAATGGGCAGAAAAATTATATATTTCTTCTCTTCCTTTCTTGTAACGTTCCAAAAGTTGTTGCTCAATTGGTAGAAGTTGTAGAAAATAACCTAGCTTTAAGTAACATTAACTCCCCGAGATAATGTGTCATTTATGATTTGAGAGGAATTAAAGATATTGATTGTAGGCCAGCAGCCAGATGGCTTGGCAGTAGCTGTGCCATGCTACCATGAATGCTGGAATCAAAAAAAGGAATGCTTTGGGATTTTTCACATCTTTGCTTATCTCACAGTTGCTGTGCATAGATGTGTCTACAAGTTTTCCAGAGTATTCTGAAATCCCCAAATCAACTCAGCTTTGTTACTGGTAGAGTTATATTGCAAATTATAATACCCTGTAGAGAATTCGAAAAACTGGACCCAGGGTTCGCAAGAAGAATTTCTTGGACCAACTCCTAAATTTAGCACTGGAAGATGTAACTGACCCTGACATAACTGGTGCTGCATAACCGCTTTAAAGCTGAAGTAATGTCTGTTCCTAAGACAGGCTGAAGCCATATCCCCTTTTTTTTTTTTTTTTTTTTTCAGTGTCCTGCCTGTTGCTTGGTGTAGCTCTTTATATACTGTGATTTATAGAGCACTTCTTTTAAACAAGCAAATAATTTCTTTCTATCACAGACCATAAAAGCTAAATACTGGTTTGGGACTGTTATAAGAATAGGTACTACAGTCATGTCATTTGTAATGCTCCTTCATGCCGTTTTGCACAGCAGTTAGGAGATATCCCTGAAATTATAGGCCCTTTAACTGTGTCACTGTTGACATCACCTGCTAGAACTCTTCAGAAGTAGGCATTTCTTATAATGTTTAATGCATGAATGCTGATGCTTTGTATTGTAAAATACAGTCTTTTGACTCTGTAGGGACTTAATGAAAAGGATTATTAGTTTTGTTTCCTCTTTGCAGATGGAAATGTCAGAAGATGATATTAATACAGAAGAATACCCCACTGAAATTCATGATTATCTTGCAGCATTTGAAAAATCTCTTGGTTCTGTAGATGAGATGCTAAAGACAATGATGTCAGTTTCCAGGAGTGAGCTTCTCCAAAAGGTAAATAACCTTCCTTTTGACAATCTTTTTGCTGTTCATACAAGAATACCTGGGAACCTGAACCGAAATAAAAGGGTCTGTTAGGCTAGCCACTGCACAGAGAAATAACAAATATGACACTTCCTACCCTTGATACCTAATATTTGAAGTTCTTACATTTCTAAGATATCCAGACGGTCTTACAAACAAAACAATGAAATATATGCTCTTCCAAGCTGAAAAGTGATGATCCTACCAGTGAGTCATTTAGGTAGAGGACATTCTAGCTTATTCCTGACCTTCCTTCAAGTGCACGCTGAGTGCTCTTTCATAACAGAGAGGTCATTCACATTTTTTTCTGAGACCTTTTCACAACAAACTTAATGGAACTTGGTATACCTAGAAGGATGTAAAGGTGAATTGACAGCAGTGAGGATTGATCTGATTCTAGAAGTCTAGACTTGCAGGACCTGGTGCTTTAAAAACTGAGCTGTCTCCTCCAGCTATCTTATAAACAGAAGTCTGTAAAATGTGGGGTTTTTCAGGGTATAAAGACAGAGCAAGGTACTGCCTGAAGACTTCATACAAGCCTCTTTATCTTTTAACATTTAAAGCCTAACATGTACTTTCTTTCTTTAGGGCAAGAAAAAGCCAGCACATGAGGGAGCTTCTTTATCCTCTGAGGATTTCTAACACAAATAAATTATGAAGAAAACAGTCTTGACAACACTGATCTTTTGACAGTATCCATGTTAGAACTAGTGAGCTGTACAATGATGTTATCAGAGTTTCTGGAAATCCTATAGGACTAAAATAATAAATTGACTTTGACAGTTGAGGAAAAAAAAAAAAACTCATTACCTTTATTCTTCCTTTGCTTTACAGCCCTGAGTATTCCAGCATGCGTTGAACACACAGTCTGCCATGGGTAGTGTTAATGTTCATTGACTGTCTGTAGCGTACTATATTCACATTTGAGCTTCCACGATCTTAAGACTTTTTTTTTTTAATTTCCATTGATAGCAACAACTATTTTGAATTAAGTTTCTGTGGAAAAATAGGGACTTATTTCTGACTATGGGAACAGTAGTCTAAGAGCTCCGTGTCAAGAGATTTTTGGGCTTTTGGCCATATGGGACTGGCCATATGGGACTTCCCCATCAGACTGGGAAAATGACATGAGTATTTGCAGAGGAGAAAATGGTTCTGTGATGTCAGGGAAATAGGCATAGACATGGTCTCGGTGAACTTCTGGTACAAAAATGTGTTCATTCAGTGTGTATGTTTTTATTAATACATTCACAATTATAAAATGTGCATATTACTAAAATCTGTGCATATTACTAAAATCTGTGCACATCTTGCTTAAAAATGTGCAAATGTAATGTGTTTTTTTTCATCCTAGCTGGATCCTCTTGAGCAAGCAAAGATGGATTTGGTTTCAGTGTACACGTTAAATTCAATGTTCTGGGGTAAGTATGTGGTAGGAGGAAAAAATAGTATTTACAATTGCCATTTGAACAGCTTCTAGACAGCTGCAAACATTAAATAATCATATTTCATAGCCAAATAATTAGAAACATAGCCAAATAATTACCCTGAGGACCCAAATTATTGGCATCTGTAGGATAAATGATGTTGAAACTCCAAATCAAAAATCGGTATTTACAATATCAAGCTGACTTTGTACATGTATGAGAATGTTTCTTTGTTTTTTCGTGGCAACCTTTTCCGTCCTTTTGACAGGAAGTTTAACCATGTTAGATTTATCTATTTTTAATTGCAATATTTGATGCTAATAGTTTGTCAGATACTTAACAATACAGTTAACTCCATTTCTTATTAATGGTTTTATGTAGAAACTACAGTTTTCCTATCTGACTGATTGATTGGGTCCTTGGTCATCACAGCCTTCGGTTTCAAAAAAACCATGTTTTTTTTCTTGTAGTATACTTGGCTACTCAGGGAATCAATCCAAAGGAACATCCAGTGAAACAAGAACTGGTAAGATTGTTACACTGCATGCACTGCAATATTTTCCTTACCCAGGACAGTTAACTCGTATAGAAGTAAAAAAATGTTTATATCTATGTTTAAAATTGATATGTTGCCATAATAGTGTGCATATGCTACATGGTGTTATATAACTGTTCGTATGCCCTGCTGGGCTGCCTAAATTAAGAAAGACGTATTTTTAGCTCCAAACAGTACTGTTTAAAGCAAAGTTGTAGAGTCTGCTGAAATTAGAAAAGAACAAGATGAATGGTGTCATCTTTTCTCCACCTTTGAGAATTGGATTCTGAATAGAGCAGCTTTTCACTGTATCTGTTAAATGGAAAAATGTTACATGTCTGATAATAATTTATAACTTCCAGTATGGCATTTTTTTCTTATAAATACTTGGAATCATGTTAATCTCCGAGGCTACCTTTTCTTACTTTTGTATGACTCTAAAAGTATAGTGTGGTTGATTTACTAGCGAAGACGGGAAAGAGCCCCCCTCCCCCTTCCAAGTCCTCCATTAATTCATTTTCTCAGCAGTAAAGAATCCAGTTCAGCAACAAAGCTAAAAGCTTTTTTGGCACCAGTTGTATGTGTATTGTCCAGTAATTCTGCATTAGTGACATATTTACAACCTATAATAAATCTTTTAGGTTTGTCTTTATATTCCATTTAGATGCATGACTACAGTATGGAAGGCCAGCTATCTTGAAAATTCTGCTGACTTAAAAAATCAAATTATTTAGCCTGAAGAAAAAATAGAAATCAAAACTTATAGCTACTCATTTTAATTCCTGTATAAATGAAAATATTAAATCTGGGCAATCGTAAAATACTTAGCTTAAATGTAATCCTTACATAACCAGTGGAATGGAAGATAGGACTGAAAAATGTGGAAAGCTAGCCTGAATAACAAGAATACTTCTATTTTTAATTTTGTGAGGTTTTCAGTAGTCTAGACTGTATCATAATAAAAAATGGATCGGTTAATATTTCATGAGCTTTCAGTCAGTTTCTTGTTCCTCCTATATTATATAGTGTCTGAATATTGTGTTAATTTAGCAGTACTAAAAAATAAATTTTATCTCTTCTGCTGTGGATATTTTATGCTGGTATTTTACTTCACGAGTGCCAGTCGTTTTAACTCTGAAGAATGGGTGAATTATCATAGGCTAGATTCTTATCCAGATCTCTTTTCCTTTTACAAGTATCAAGGTGAATTAATGCACATTCCTTCCTTCCAAGAGCATTGTGATGTTCTTATTCATGTGGAAAGGGAATAAAAAAAGACTGTTCTGTCATGATTGTTTTGTTTTTAGAATTGCTCTCCTCGTGTATATACAGGGAATACACAGGGATTCAAACTGTATTAATAAAACTCACATTCAAGCTATCAGAGTTCATTTCTTTTGTCACGTTGACATTTGTCAGCTCCTTTTTCCCATGTTGATACATGTAGGTTTGCCATCTGTTCTCATTAGCCATCTCAGTCACCAAAGAAATATTACAGTCTATCATAATTTCAGACCCTGTAAAGCTTTCCTCATTAAAGCTATGTTTTTGATACTGAAAAAGTGGCCATCTTTTTGACAAATCAGTTGCTTATAATGGTCACTGAAGAATTGAGAATTAGTTTAGTAGTGCAGGTCTCATAACTTTTGTTCCAGATTCAAAGAGCTGTCAGTAGCTGCGCGAGAAATGTTTGGGTTACTTAATATCAACATTTATTTAGTTAGCAGTATCCATAAATGTTCTGTTAATCCACATTTATCGTTCGGGTAGAGCACTATATATATCTATATGTATATATATGTTACTGTTTTTGTTTGTATTACAGTATTACCTAAAAGCCCTAAAGTTGAAGGCCATATTAGGCTAAACATGTAGACATGAAATCTATCAACCTAACTTTTATGTGTTTTACAGAATTACTGTAAGTGTCCTCTCTAGTCTGTGGAGAGAAGCAGGCATTTAACAGAGGGTGATACCCATCTTAGAGGGGTTTTGTTACCCTCTCAAAGTAATTTTATTGATTGCAGAAGTAGATGAGGATGAGTAGGCACATAAACGACATTATTAAGCTGGGAGTGTATACTTCAAGTGGCGCTGAATCTAAGCCATGCTTTCTTCAAAAAAAAAAAAGCTCTAGACACCAAATCACTATGGAAGGCTAAGATGGCAAGAAAGTATCCCCTTGCTTTATGGAATGGCAGTTGAAATAGGCTTTTTTAATTTATGTTCATAAAAGGAACTTCTGGTACGGCTGGAAATTCATTAGGCTGCCTTAAATAGGGTCATTGATAAGTTCTCTTGACCATTTCAGGATCTTAACTACAAGAGTTCTGTGTAGTTGTATGTGTAATGCTTGTAACATCTTTGATTCTTGTGCAAGATGCTTTTTGGCTTTGCTTGGACATGTTGACTATTTTTTTTTTTTCCTAGACGGTAGTCAGACAGTACCATTCATCTATAAATATGTCAAATATCTAAATATTATTTTGCCATCTTTATGTAGGCCCAACTCCAAATAGAGTTCAGTATTTTGTTTTCTAACTTTGCTTGCAAGAACAATTCTCGTCTCACTGTAAATTAGATGCAGAGTCTTCATCTCTATAGGACTTTATGTTCCTATGACAGTGGATGTCATGCAAGTATTAGTATGGTATGTGATGGAAAATCTGCTAAAGGGGAAGCCTCAAGCTTGCAAAGAGCCTGGTGTATATATAATTAAATGATGCTATTTTTATAGGTATTATAGAAATGTACAGTGTGGAGAGATTCTACTCATTGATTTTATTTTAGCAGCAATCTTGGGAGAATGGTATGAAATATACTTTCCTTTTTTCTTTTTTTTCCTAGGAGAGAATAAGAACATACATGAACAAGGTCAAAGAAATAGCAGACAAGAAGAAGGCATCCAAACTCGATAAAGGAGCTGCTTCTAGATTTGTAAGAAATGCACTCTGGGAACCAAACGCTGAAAATGAACATACGTCCAAAACTCCTACTAAAGGAAAAAAGAGAAAGATGGACTAATTTTTCATTTCCCTTTATGCAGAGACACCTAGAACTTATTTAAAAATGTGTTTTGCATACTATATGCATCTTGCAGAGGTGTATAGCAATTTTTTGATTAAGTTATACTAAAGAACTTTACAGGATTGTATTTTGTCCAGAATACTTGTCACTGAGGTAATCACATTGTATGTGTATCTTAAAGTGCCATTTGATGTGAGAGAAGTAACGTTTCATTATTCAAAAAATAATGACCTGACATATGCTTGCTGGTAATAGATACTAGTGATGTTTTGTTCATAATGTCTAAGAATTCCTTTTTTTTTACCGCTCAATGATTGACACTTTTTTTATATGTATGGAAACTTTTGAATATTAAAATCTCTCAAACAATGCTATCCAGTCCGTGGTCTTTATGCAAGAGCCATGTTTACTTTCTCATTACATCATTATGTGAAATGCTGTATTTGTAGAGTTTTGTAAGGTTTATTCACTGTGTTAAACTGTTTCCTTTTCAGCTTCTGAACTTGAACGTATGCCATATTCCCTTACTTCTGCTGCCTCTGAGAAAACCGAGCTTCAAGGGCCACAGGCAAACAGCCTGGATTCCACTCTAAGCCACCGTGCCTACTCAATGGCAAAAGTAGATTATCCCCAAAGGGCAATTTGTAGGGCATGAAAAAAGGAGCAGGCTGGGGACAGCTATTGGGAAACAGCACGTGCAGGAGCCTGATTGGAATTTTGGCTGCAGTGCTCACACCTTACTGCTGACACTGTGAGAGAGAGAAATGCTCTGTGGTGCTAGGAGCGTGGTCATCTGTTGGGATTTCTCAAATCTTCATCAAGGAAAGCATTCTCTGCTCTGTTTTGTAAATATTCTATTTGTTTTCTGCCAAATGTGAAGCTTAGTCATTTAGGAGAGGAGACGTGTTAGTTTCTTTAGAAGACCCTCACTAGTTAATTTTTCAATACACTGCAAAGCACAACTTGATTATCCAGCCCAAAACCTGTTTAACAATTAGCAGTAACCTAACTACTTGTGAAGGAAAAATGAACAACTTAGTTCACCACAATGCAGTTTGGGTAGCAGTCTACAAAATTGGTTGGGAAATAGTGTTAGTGTGAAAGATTAAATGATAAGGACAAATGAATCCAGTATACCTACAGTACTGCAAGCTGAACGATGTACAGTAGATGGTTACGGTCCTTACAGAGTTATACTGCATCACGCAATGGAGAATAAGGACTAAATTGAATTAGGCGCTAAAATGAAGGTATGTATTTGAAAGTGAAAGTTCAATACATTAACAAGTTTATTGAACTCAAATAGTCGTTGCATATCTCTAGAAACATTTTCAGTGACTGGTATGAATTTACACAGTTTTGTTTAAGATAAACTCTTTGAATAAAGAGCAATTCTTTCAATCCAACTAACAAGAGAATGTGCTTGTATAAATGTTCATGTAGGTACCTTACTTAGCTGTCTCAAATCTACAGGACTGCTCACGTGGGTATGTGTATCAAAGGTCCATAAACATTCCCAGCTGAAAGCTATGAGAATGTGTTACTCCTACAGGTTAATGTCATGGTTATACCAAACAAAAGAGCTGTTGGACTTGGGAGTCTTTTTTTTTTTTTTTTCTTCCTAATTAAGGTTAAAAATGAGGAAGACCCGAAGTGTGTTCTTGAACAAAGATAGCAATACTCATGTAAAGGAGTCCTCTTGGTGTGCTCAGCAGGTTTGGACAGAGTTTTTTTGGAAGTCTGTGTCTCTTGTGTTTTATCCCTTTCAGCCTGATAATGCAAAGGTTAGCTGCAGGCTGCTATAAACAGACTTCTGGACTTTCTGTGGATGTAGAGGTCTGCATGTGCAAAGCATGTGGTTCTAAACGTTATTCTCAAAACTGTCAATTTAAAAAAAGAAAAAAGGCCAGGTGTCCTATGAACTAATTGGGAAGACAATAGAATAGAAGTGGTCTGAAGTGGCACAAGCCAGAAGCACTTTAATGTAGAGATTTTCTGGGACATAACGTCTTATACTTTGAGAGGCATTGTCTTGAGGAAATGAGTAGCTCAGTTTGTATTACACACAGTGCTGTTAATTAAAACGGAATTGAAGGACATTTCCATTACGTGATTTTCCTTTAAAGCTTCAATTATAGCTTTTGTTTTTAAAGGATAATGTCTGAAAGGGTCATAATTCATTGTCCAGTAAAGTACACAGGTTTCATTGGTAAATGTTTAAACAAGAATAATGCAAGGCTATTAGCTAAGACTTACTGAGGTAGAAGTCCATCTGGTATAATTAATTATATACAGGTATTTGGCATTTGTGATAGGGCAGTTTAAACAGATGTAACAAATGCAACATTGTAAACTTTTTTTTTTTTAAGACTTGTATCACTCAGTATGGCCGTTCACAGCCTGGATTTGTAGCTTTTCTAACAAAACAACCCAGACAAATATCGCACAAACTAAGAAGCGTTAACCATGTGCTTGTTATTCACTAATAGTTCTATTAGAAAGAGGCTTGAAATACAAGATCAGGAATGCTAAATGTTTTTTCTATCACTGAAGACTTCTTGGAACATCTAGACTTCAGCAGAGGTATTTAACTTTACTGAGGTCTCAAATATGAAATGACCTGACTGAACATGGTTTGTGAAAGTTCCTCCTTGGAAAAGCTACGTGAACATTGGAATAAAAAATAACAACTTTCCTGCCTCAAAATAGGAGGCTGGCAAGAAGCAACATTTATTGCAGTGGCTGTGTGCGTAATCTGTATAAGCCATAGTTTGTAGAATGGTTCTACAAGGCCTGAAAGGGAAGGAAAACGTCTGGGAGACTTCTAGTCTCATTGCTATATGTGCTGAATATGATGCAGAAATACTAATTCTGCGCTTAGTTAATGCCAATGTAATGCAAAGAGTTGCTCTTATAATAGCAAAAGTTATTAGTACCAGTGAATTAAAGTATTAATGAACTTAAGATATTTAAAGGGAACATTAAGGTGTGTGTGACGCCTCCCTGCTTTGTCTTGATTTTGCTATAAATATATTACAGGTTAATTAATATTAGTTAGACATACCAGCTAAGAGAAGCACTAACAAGACTGCCATTTCTGAGAATGCTTTTAAGTAATGCAATGACAAAATTATGTAAAACTCTTAAGTTATGGTAGAAATATACATGCAGTTGTATATATGTAGACTAGAGCCCAATTGATGTCAAAATCTGTGTTTTGTGTTCAGGTTTTTAAGTTAAAAGTGAAAATAGTATTAATTTTGTTAAAGATTCTGTTTTGATACATGCATTTAATGTGTTACCTGTTCTCGGAACTTTTCTTTCTTTCTAGTCTTTGTACCAAGGAAGTGATGAGGTTGATAAGAGCATGTGAAGTTGTTAGCAGCTATGACTAGAATTTGATATGAGGTTGTATGGGGAATTTTCCAAGCTTACAAAAAAAAAACCAAACCCAAACCAACCTTCAGAAAAGAAATGGTAACACAGCTCAAGATTTTAAGCCCCACTAGTGTTAGTGTTAGCTAGCTACATTAAAATAGCAAACAGCCCCTGGGGGCATCCAGGAAGCTCTATGCTTGGCAAAATTTGGAGGTCATTGGATAGTAGGGACTTGACTCAATTGACTTTAGAGTCAATGGGAGACTTTCCGCTTGGTCTTCAAGGACTTTGGTCCTTGAATTAGTGTGGCTTCATCGAACTGCTACAGTTGGACAGGAGAAGTAAATTACTCAGTTATCAAATCAATGGCTCGGGATTTTGTAGTAGATGTCTGGCGCACTACTCAGTGTTTCTTCAGTCAGTGAATTTTATCTTTGTCTTAGATGCATCTTTAAATGTATAATGAAAGTTTTCCTCCCCATATACCTGTGCTGCTCAGAAAAATTTTGCAGGGAGAAAACTCCATGTCATTAATTGTCCCAGCCACGTAAAGAGATTTTTTACCATAACAAAATGGGCATCTTTGACCTAAGAAACAAGGTCTTCTCCCAACTGTGTAAAGTTTCTGCAGGTCTACTCCTAGAAAACCTCTCTGACAGAGAGCTTACTGTGGCTGCAAACACAGGAGAAGTCTTACTAGATTAAATTACCACTTTTATAAATGCTAACTATGAGTTGGGAAGTCAACACATCACTGCTGCTCCTTTCTGCTCCTTCAGTATTTTTATTAGTGGAGAACTGCATCCTCAAGTGTGAATGTTTTATTAAGTCATCCTATTTTTTTCTGGCCTTGAAAATGAATACTAGCATGAAGCCTTGTCGAAAAAGTATTAATGTTGCAGTTTCATTGGAAATCTCCTCAAAACATAGTTATCTGGAATAATAAAAGTGAAACAAACTTAATTCTCCCAGAATTAAGAATTTTCTTGGATTTAAGAGGGTAGACCAAAATTCGCTTTTTAACTGTGGGGCTGGGACCATTACAAATGTAAAGGGTAATCCTGGTTTCCATAGTAAATGACATACTTTGCCCAGGGATTGATGAAGACCTGGTTCTGCAGCCCCAGAAGAAGAGACCTTGGTTAACTGGATTAAAGCTTCTATCAATTCGTGGCCACAGGAAGGCTTTTGGGAGTCGTGAAGAGCAAAATCCAATCTGTAACTGGAGACATGGGTGGAGGTATATTGGTGTAAGTGGCATTCTGTGGTATAGGGTTCCTTCCGGCAAGATCTCAATGAACTTTTGACTCAATTCATGTGTATTCTCTTCTACTGAAAGCAACTGCAAAACCCCCTTATACCTAGAAAAAACTTTTAACATGGCTACAAGCTGGGAGATGTGCCAAGTTATCCATAAAAAATTGAGACAACTTGATCGGAATGTCATTTCTTTCTTCCATCAGACATGGCTCGCTAGTAATGTATAGCTGCCTTAGAGAGCTAAAGTGTAAGGAAACAACAGCAAACTATTTTTGATGCAGATCAAAGCTTGAAAAAAAAAATTAACTTCAGCTGAACAGTGACATGCAAATCAGAATGTAACTGGAGAAATAATCGCGAGGTTTTGTGGAGATGTTCTGCTTCTCCAAAAGAGTAAGTCTGACAAACTTCGAGACAAAGACTTTCCAACTTGGAAAGCCAAAATAATTGACATTGGTTGCATCCAAAATGTGGGTAGGTTATTTCTTTGTCATAAACTGAGATGTAAAGATGCCAAAACAGTGCATTAGTTAAAAAGACTATATATGTTTCTTAGTTAGAAGTTTACTTGCCAGTGATGAAAAAAGTGTGTTAGGTTACAGCAATTGAGGGGAAATAATACAGAAAGTAAATAATGCAATTTGTCATT